AGTGGCAGAAAATATAATTTTTCATCTCAAACTACACCAACATGTACCACACGAGTGAAAATAATAACAGTGTTACGCGAAATTTTGCTCCCGTTTTCTTTCGGTGGAAAGGGACGCATTTCCGGAAATGGGTTTTGCGGGATGGGATGTCAGTGTTAGAGATGTCTTTGACAGCATGGATATGTGTACAATATGTGTAGACAAGATCACAGAAAAGACTCTGGTCTGAACCTGAACTCACCGCCTGCAATGATGACGTTCTTGGCCGTCCTCTGCCTGGACATGATGGCGGAAGTGGACACGTACGTGAAAAAAACAACAACTCACTTATCCATCACTGTTACATTTCTGATTCCAAGCTCCTGTCCCGGGTCCCGCCGTCTCACCAGCAGGACTAACCCAAACCCGGAAAGACGCCAAGATCACATGATCACATGTCTAACTTCTGATTGGCTAAAATCAACACATGACGCCTAAGTAAAAAAATCATGGCACTAGGAAGTTCAATTTTTTTTTTTTCAAGATCACAGTAAATTTCGTACACGTGTAGTCCGAGGACACCTCGTGTGGAGTTATTGGACCTGCACAGACCGGTGCTAAAACGCATTTAACTCGGTAAGTTTTTAGCTCCTGCTGCTGCATATATATGTATAATCTGGCCCCGGCCCGACCTGGTTGGTTTCCGCAGTGATGAGATGCGGTTCGGCGGGCAGAAAGCGGATGTTGTTTCCCGTGTTCCTCTGGTTCTGATTTATCTACAGCTCAACGGGATAATATCTAGTTTTTTTAACGTGTTCGCGGGTTTTTACTGTTAAAATTTTTCAGGATAAAATAATGTTCAGCGGCCAAAATAAAAAGAGATTGGTATTTGAGCCCCCTAGTGGTCATTGAATTTACTAACCCATTCAGTCAGACTGAAGTACTTTATAAAACACTAGTATTGTTTCCATCATATCTTAACAATATCTAGGAAGATTATATTATCCTGGCTGTGCATCTTTGAAATCCTCGAAAGTTTTTAATTTATTTTAATCTGATCTTAATACACGGTTATGTCAAAAAGTTCCAATATTGATGATTTTAATTAAAAAAAAGAGTATTTCTTTTTTACGTATTCAAATTATTATTATTTCCCTCTTACTGACTCCCATATAATCACATACATGGTTAATCCTGATACAATGTTTTGATATTCTCTAGTCCTAAAATGTCTGAGGAGGTTCCAAATGAGGGGGATCCAGGCCAGTCAACCCAGCCTGGTTCCCAGCCTGAGTCCTCTCAGACCCAGTCCCCGTCCCAGGCACAGTCCACTCTGTCTCCGTCCCAAGTCAAGTCCCAGTCTCAGACTGGCTCTAGTTCTTCGAGCGGGCCGACCTCGGCCAGCCAGTCCTCCAGCGGCTCTGGGACTCTGAGCAGCATGGACACCATTCCTGTCACCTTGGCGTCTGTACCAGAGGAACCGGAACCACAACCGTGGGGCCGCCTGCTGCCGATGGTTCGAGGTTTCAGGAGCCTTGGTAAGTTTGCTCTACACAGTGATGGTACTTGCTAACGCACTAGTATAGTACTAATGGGTTTGTTTAACTCAGACTTTAACCTTTTTCACTGATAGGCCATCAGTCCACAAGTCCAAACATTTACATTTATTCATTTAGAAGTGGCAGGCGAGGCAGGCGTGCTAACCGCTAACACTATGGAACACACATATCAGTACACGTTTGTACTGATATGATAACAATGGGTAGATCCTTTAGTATTAAACAAATATTAATGTTGCCATTTTGCATAAATGAAATAAAAAATGTGCTTCTAACTGTGACGTCTAATTTAAAATAATACTGTTTGACAGAGAGAGCAGAGCCCAGGAAACAACTGAATCATTATCCAATATGATGATGTCATCATAAAGAAACAGCTGCATTGTGCTGCTCTTTCTTCTCCTGTTACTCTATTATAAATGATAAGATATAAAATAATTTTAATAAAAATAATACTTGGTTTTAATGTTACTACAAATACCATTGCAACTGTTTGCGTTCCAAGCACTTTTATTGTATTTCTGTTGTACTGCATGTACAACTGTGTGTGTGTTTTTGACTCGGTTTAATACTGTAGCGGTTAGCATGCCTGCCTCTGAAGCTGAGAGCAGAGAGTCCTGTTTAAATTCGTTGGTAGTACGGCATATTTTATTGAAACTTTTTGCCCTTCATTATGACTCACAGGCACCTGTCAGCGTTAAAATTCATGGTTTTATCAGACCAAATTGTAGAGGACCAGGGTCTGTAGGACCACAACAGTCCTGAGGTGAGGGCCGGCTAGTGTACAGAAAATACAGGTTAAATTCTCAGAGGCACTGCATGCTTGGTGCCTGCCAGGGGGCAGCAGATCTGCTGTTAACACAAACATTTGCCAAATATGGGATCAATAAATTTCAAAAACATTTTAACAAATGATCTTCTTCTGCTAACAACACCAGGAATTCCTACTACTACTACTGTAGTACTAGACAGTAAAATACTGCTGTTGGTTGGTTTTTCCAGACTGTATCGATGATCAGTACCTGTTTGGACGAGGTATAAAATCTAACTATGTGCTGGATGATCCCGACGAGCCAGGATCCACCAGATCCAAAATTTACAGTAAGAGACACTTCAGGATCTACAGAGTAAGAATACTGACTTCCTACTAAAACTACTACAGTAACTGCTACTACCACCCTCAGCCTCCAGAGGGCCCGAGCTCTGACGCTGCTCTGACTCTCTGTCTTATTAGGATGGTAATGAGGTTTTCGTGGACGACTACAGTAACAACGGGACTTTCGTTGATGGAATACTGATAGGTAAAGACAAGAAGCTTCCTTTGGTTAACAACGCGGTCCTTGCTTTGGCCGAACAACGTAACAAAGGTGAGCAAAAGGTGAGCACAGAAACATTAAAATTAGGGATGTCCAATATTAACACTTTGCCAATGTCCGATATGTCGATATTGCCCAAACACTTAATTTCCTATTCCGATATCAACCGATGCTGAATGGCAATGCTGCCATCTAGTGACTTTCACTTTAATATGCAGCCATTTTTCCCAAAACTATTTTTAGAGCACACGTAATTTGGCAAAACCCAGGCATTGCGTTATCAGGTTTTTAATATTGTAGGAAAAAATTATACATTTCTCACAGATATTACTTCATTATGCTAACATCGGGCCGCAGAGCTTTGACCCAGTTCTGTTTGAAATAATGGAATACTGATAACGTAAAATTGCACAAATTTCTTGAATATAAATATATACCCATCCCATTATACATGCTGGCTGTACTGTGACTATAAGCCACAAAAAAAATTCACTTTATTTTATCTTGCAGTGATAAAAACTATTTTGGTTTTATAATTGTTCCATTTGGGAGAGATTTTAAAATAAAAATATCCAGAAGAGTTTTCTGCTCAGAGCTGCAGCAATTTTAGCCCCGCCCCAAATGCTATCATTGTTCTGACTTGTGAGGACACCAGTCCCAAGGCAGCTGATAATATCCTAGCTCACCAGCAGTCAATGATCTTTCAAATTTAAAAAAAAAAAGTGATAATGTGCCATAAAGGATCTCGTTGCTTAACTCTTTTTAGTTTATTCAGTAGATGACTGTGGCTGTTTGGAGTCATTGTAATTCATCAATAAATACAATTATCAAATGAAAAAAATTTGAATAAAAATATGTCCCTTCCCCCTCCCCCTTTCTCTCCCCCTTTGAAGTCTTTGTCTTCATCGATCTGATGTCTGATGATCAGTCCAATTTACCCAAAGAGCTTCAGGAGAAATATCTCCTGACTCGACGCATTGGAACGTGAGTGTCACCTCACTTCTTGTAGCCATAGCAACATACTGAAGTGTTGTATTTCTGTGTGTGTGTGTGTGTGTGTGTTTCAGAGGGGTGTGTGGGGAAGTCAAACTGGCCTTTGAGAGAGGCAGCTGCAAAAAGTTTGCAGTAAAAGTCATCAACAAGAGCAACTTCAAGTCTGAAGGGGTAGATCTGACCTTTGACCTCCTACCTTTTCACGTAGAAAACCTGAAAACAGGAAGCTGCCGGTAGAACCAACAGTCACGTGATCTGTGTTGTTTTTGTTTGTCCCTTTACAGACAGCAACACGCAATGCACAGACGGAGATTGAGATTCTTCAGCGAATCAACCATGTGAGTGTGACAATGATGAATGCAGCTTCAGTCTGTGCAGCTTTATTTTTCATAAACTTCTGAGCTACATCACGACCTCTTCTCTCCTTGCTTCCTGTCCTACAGCCTTGTCTGATGAAGACGGAGGACTTCTACCAGACAGAGGACAGTTACTACATCGTGTTGGAGCTGTAAGTTGACAGTTGTGTTGATTTAAACTCAAATGTCAAATGTATTTGAAGTAGTCTACGAGCTACGGTAGGTCGCAGACGACCTGATCTGGAAAGATAAGTCTGATTGAAGCGTTTTCCCCATGATTGTGTATAATAACAATAATAATAAAAATAAACATAACAATAATAACAGCAACAATAATCATATTAATACCAGCAACAATTATAATAATAACAGCAACAATAATAATAATGACAATAAAAGACAGTAATATTAGTAGTAGGGCAATAACCAGTTGAGTTATTGCCCTACTAGGTTGAGATGCCGCCCTCTGTTTAATACTGCATGTATTACTAGCCAGTTTGGGAAGCTGTGGGGGCGTTGAAAAACCTTCGGGGTGTGCACACCCTAGTGGTCACTAGTGGAACTGAACACTCAAAGCATGGACCGCGTCATAACTGTGTCGTTCCCCTCAGGATGGAGGGAGGGGAACTCTTCCAAAGAGTCAAGTGTCAACAACAACTCAAAGAGCCAGTGGCCAAACTTTACTTTTACCAGATGCTGTGTGCGGTCCAGGTGAGCATGGCTGCCATGGTTACAAGTAAAGCTTGTCATCCACACTGTATTTTAGCTACAGGGGTGTAATTTGCATTTACATTGATAAAAAGTAAATAATAAAATGTATTAACGTTAATTTGTGTGCGTGTGTGTGCATGTGCAGTACCTCCACAGTAATGGCATCATCCACAGGGACCTCAAACCAGAGAACATCCTGCTGTCCTCACAGGAAGACAAGTGTCTCATTAAGGTGAACTCACCTCCTCCGTTACTTACCAAATAAAGTTGATTGATTATTGTAACAAAATATACTGCGAAACATATATTTGTTGAGTGTATTGCAGATTATATTTTAAAATATTTTTCTCTTTTTGACGGTGCCTGTAGACTTTAAACACATTTTGGGTCAAGAGTTCATCATTTGGTCCATAAAATGTCACCTAACTCAAAGTGATGATCATCCTGCTGTGTGGCAGGAGCAGTAACACCATCCAGCCACTGTGTGGCTCCCTCTTAGATCACCACATCCTACAGAATAGCCGTTGCACTTTAGGCAGTTCAAATATCCTCCTCCTTTTTCTGATCCTCTTCCTCCTCCTCTGTGACAGGTGACAGACTTCAACCAGTCCAGGATCCTGGAGCAGGCTGTGCTGATGAGGACACTGTGTGGGACTCCGTCTTACCTCGCCCCTGAAGTTTTCACCCATGCGTCCACCACCGGATACAGCCTCGCTGTGGACGCCTGGAGCCTCGGAGTCCTCCTCTTTGTCTGGTACACACACACACACAGATACATACATAGTCGTCTGCATGTCTTTGACTTAACAAATACTTCTCCTTCTCTTTGTCCCTCTGTCAGTCTGGGTGGTTACCCTCCGTTCCACGAGGACTTTGGTCGCTCAGTCACAGATCAAATCATCCAGGGAGAATTTGTGATGAAGCCGTCTAGATGGAAACATGTCTCCGCCCAAGGTACTACAGCACTACTGCAATACTGCAATAGTAAACTTGTAAAAAATGAGAATAGTACTACTACTGTGATAAGGCTGTATTACTGCTCTACTGTTTAACAACTGTGTGTTTGTGTGTGACAGCCAAAGATGTGGTGAGGAAGCTTCTGGTTGTTGATCCCAGTAAGAGGATGACCATAGATGAAGCTCTGCAGCACCCGTGGTTACAAGTAACTACATTATTTACAGTTAACTACTGCAGTATACATACTGTTCATACCATACCAGCTGAAGGGTCTACTATAGTACGATCACTGGTCGTGGTCAGTAGTCCTAGTCTAGCCCAGAATTGCACTTTCCAGAATTTGAAAGTGCAATTCTCTTTCAAAGTTTAAGTCGAGGTTAGATGATGAGCGGAGGGTGGGAGGAAAAGGAGAGGAAAACACGAAAACAACAGCAGTAAAAAAATTATTTAGATGGCAGCCAATCACAAAATTTAAAACCAAGTGCTAAAAACAACAATATGATACTATAAATAATGAGACTTTTTTTCCATTTAAGATCAATTTACAGTGACTGTTTTGTCACATTCTTAAAGCAACAGCAGCACAGTAAATTAACAGTTAATTACAGGATAATGAGATGGTGGAGACGGCACAAAGACTCATGTACCCAGACGGGGATGCTCCTCCTCCTCCCGCTGCTGATCCTCCCACCACTTCCACCGCCACTGCTGCATCTCCAATGGTAATCACGCAGTCAAAAAGGTTCATCTCATTACTCACAGTAACCACACACGCTGATTTCTTCCACTGTAGGAGATGGAGTCAGAGACAGCGCCCTCTGGGAGAAAACGAGGACGGGATGACGAAGATGAGGATGGACATCGTCCGGCCAAACGGAGTCAAATGCAGCCTCGAGCCCCAATGTAGGGCAGGGTGGGGGAGGGGAGGGGGGGCGCGCGGATATTTATCAGGTTATGTGACTCTGCTCTGTGTTCACTGCTGACAGACTCCACTGTAAATAATGTTGATAGAGCTTTCTAATAAAGATATTTTTGATTTTTGATTGTGGTCTAGTTGTGTGGTCCTCGTGTTTAGGTCTCACTTCACGGGTTTTATAAGAGCACCTAGTCGGTTTTTATGGCCCAACATTTCCTTAAGTTTGTTTAAATGTATTTTAAGTTACAGTATTCCACAATTCTGAGGTTTTGCAGAGTCACCTCATTGTGCTGATAATCAAGTTACTGTACTGGTGAAGGTCATTTATCAAAGGAACAAACTAAATTATAAAACTGTTCTTTTATCATGTTTGTGTGGATATTAAAGTTTATTTGTTGTTAAACTAAAATGACTGTTCTTTTAAATGCTGCTAGAACATTTAAACAACACAAGAATTTAAAACAGACTGTTTTGAAAATGTAGCATTAAGGTAAATTTAGCATTAAGCTAAATTAAGCTTTATGTCGTTCTTTTTCTTTCGGCTTTGTCCCTTTTTTCATGGGTTGCCACAGCGAATCATTGATTTCCATCTCTCCCTGTTATCTGCATCATCTTATGTATATGGAACTGATTTATTTCTTTCTTAATTTTAGTTGGTGTAAAAATCTAATCTTATAACATTCGCAGATAAAACAACACGGGCACCTAAAGAGTTAGGCTTTAGTTAGTTAAGACGACTGAGGTAAATTTGGTCTTCTCCGATTGCCGTACAATCTATTACTACGCGTGCGCATTCGTGGCTACGTGGTGGCCACACTGGTTTATAGCTAACAGAAGCTAAGAGCTTTCTTTCCTAGAAGGAGCAACAAGTATCTGTATTTAGACTTAATTCATACGTGTAAGCTGTTTTCACGGTACTAGTTCTGACAGAACGTCACCGTTGAAGACGTATTATTAGCACACTGTTAGCACCGCGAGCTAAGTTTATCTTAAGCTCCGCTGCAGCAGTATCAAAACAAACAGGCTAAGCGCGACTAGAAGCCCGGGAGCAGACCAACATGGCGACCGAGGAAAAGAAACCAGACACGGAGCACATCAAGCAGCCCTCAGCCTCCGCGGGGTCCGGAAGCAAAGTAAGTCAATCAAAACAATTATTCGGGTTCTATCGTAAACATTTTGTAGGTGAAATGAACATATCTTTCCCGTTCGGGATTCCCCTTCAGTTCTAGGATCAGTGAAGGTGTAGTCGGTCTAGATCCGGATCCGCTGTGTTGAACTTAAGTCTTTGTGCAGTTTTTGATAAGGTTAACGCCAGTCTACATGTTACGACTTTAACCTGCACCTTAAATCGAATCGTCTGTACAATCAAAACACCTGAGAAGAACAAGCACAAGAACAGGAGTGGCGCGATACACATAATGACATCATCATGATCAGAACTAACCACAACAGGAAATTCATTTTTTAAATTTCTTTTCTTTAGTGTATCTTTCCTGTCCTAAAGGGACATGGGAAAAAAAGAAGAAAGAAACGTATCTCGTGCGCACGAGAAAGTATATCTAAGACATTTTGCCACACATACATACAGGGCAATACACACAAACACACACAAAAAAAAACACAATCATGTACAGTACGTACGGTTGGGAAATCTAAGATACCGGCATGTCATGTGTGACATATGTAGCTACTGTATATATGGTGAGCATTTAATTAATGTAGGGCTTTCACGAGATACGTTTCTCTCCCCCCCCCGCCCCCCCTCACTTTCCTCATGGGAGGGAATGAATTATAAACACTGGCGTTCTACCAAAGTATAGAAACATTTATGTATTTACCACGTATATAAATGCAGAACAATTAATTTTTAACGCAATATTTCTGGATACCGTAGCACGAAAATATTTACAAACAGAATTCTAATGAATTTGTGAAACATTAGTCTGTACCTCTTTTACGATCAATATATAAACTAAAACATAACATCCTTTGATTTATTTTGTAAATATTCAGTGTATATTTATTTATTGTTAACATTTATTGTGAAAAGCTAATATTTATTTAATTATTTGTTAATATTGTTAACTCATTGGTACCAATTGTTGTTACCAGTGTTATATCATCTTCATGAAAAATTTTGGTGAATGTTATAAAGTGAAATGTTTTCTCTTATTTTAGTATCTTTATGTTCTTTAATGATATTTCCAAAAAATATATTTTGTTTTGTTATGTACCATTTCCTACATTTAATTGAGCAGATAATGTTAATGTGTGGCAGACAAAATAATTACTTAACATTAACGTGTGGTCTGTTTCTGTGTTCTCCTCTAGTCTAACCCAGCCAAACCAAACTACACAGTAAAGTTCACGTTGGCTGGACACACAAAAGCTGTTTCTTCTGTCAAGTTTAGTCCCAACGGAGAGTGGCTGGCCAGCTCCTGTAAGACACACACACACTTACTGGTTCTTGTGTAGCACGTTGACATAATAAATTCCCTAATTACTTGCTCTATCCATTTTAAACATATGTATAGTCTTAATCTTTACTCTAAATCTAAATTTACTAAATTAATCTTGAACCTCGGAAAACACCCTGTCACCCATTGGAGAACTGTAAAATTCCCTTCACACGGAGTGTGAGAAATGAAATGTCCCCACTAGTATAGCTTTACCAACATCTGACACACACAGGGTGAAGTCTAGTTGGTCAGATAGGGAAGAAAAATCCTTGTTCTATTTAGACACAGGTTTTTGTATGTTTTGAATCTAATTTTACAAATAAACAAAATTAAAAACAGACTCTCTTCAAATGTAATGTTGTAAAAGGTCACTGTGGCAGAATAATTAAATAATCCAATAAAAGGGCATTAACTGTTTGTGGTACTATGGTGATGATGATGATGATGATGATGATACAGTAACCATGGTAACATGTCTGTACAGCTGCTGATAAGCTGATAAAGATCTGGGGAGCGTATGATGGAAAGTTTGAGAAATCTATCGTTGGACACAAACTGGTGAGTGTCCCTGTCCTGGTCTGGGTCTTTACTTGGTCTGTGTCTACATCGGTCGTCAACCTGTGTGTGTATGTGTAGGGGATCTCTGACGTCTCATGGTCTTCAGACTCCAACCTGCTGGTCTCCGCCTCTGATGACAAAACGCTCAAGATCTGGGATAATAATTCTGTAAGAGACACGCACACACACACTTCACATCAGTCCGTTACAGTCAAGTGTGATTATGTCGTCTCAGAGACACTGTCGTTGAGGACATCTGTGTCTGTCTGTCTTTGTCTCTGCTCAGGGAAAGTGTCTGAAGACTCTTAAAGGCCACAGTAACTATGTTTTCTGCTGCAATTTCAACCCTCAGTCCAACCTGGTGGTGTCTGGATCGGTACAACTCACACACACACACACACTCTTTTTGTCTGACACACACACACACCCACGATCTTAACCTGTTTTGTCTCTGTGTGCAGTTTGACGAGAGCGTCCGCATCTGGGATGTGAAAACAGGAAAATGTCTCAAGACTCTGCCGGCGCACTCCGACCCCGTCTCTGCTGTGAGTCCTGACCCTTGACCTGATGTGGCTCTGCATTTAGATGTGCTAACAAATTAGCATTTGTTGCAAGTCAGCACGACGTAAAGAGTGATGTTTTCTCTTAGTGATTATGATTGAGAATGATTACATTTTTCCAACGCTTGACAAAAAAATTATGTTAAAAGTTGTTAATATGTTTGTCAACATGTTATTGTCGGAGTTGATGTTAATGAGGGGTGAGTAAAAATATCGATTCATTATTGCATCGAGATTCTTTTCCCCCAATTCAATATGTATTTAAGCTATTTGTGTTGAAAGACAGCATAAGTTCAGTGTGGAGCAGTGTCCCCTGCTGTCGGAGAGTGGCCCCTCGTGGGTCATTGGTTCAGTGGGTAGGAGCTACAGTGTTAATTGGCGGTCAGGCAGTGTGTGTGGTAGTTAAGATCGTTACGTCATTATTAGTGTTGCTGTCTCTATTTTTTATCTAGTTATTATTACTATTCGAGTGTACCTTCAAGATATCTGGTACTCGAATTACTCAAAAATATTGATGTATTTCTACTTGATACTGAAGTGATCATGTTTTGTGAACTTATGTCCAAGAAATTCTCAGAAACACAAGGAAGCAGTGAATGCTGCATGTTTTATTCTGTAAATGTGTATATATATGTGTGTGTATGTATGTATGTGTATGTATGTATGTATGTATGTATGTATGTATGTATGTATGTATGTATGTATGTATGTATGTGTATATGTATATGTGTGTGTATATATATATTGCAGTTCAAATGTCAATATAGTCTGCTGCAGCTCAGTGCAAACAGTTAAACCTCTGACCACCACTGTGTCCAGGTTCACTTCAACAGAGATGGTTCACTCATCGTGTCCAGCAGCTACGATGGACTGTGGTATGTCTGCACACACACACACAGTTGGACCCCATAAACACCTGAACACACACACACAGATGTAGTGCGGTGACTGTAGTGACCGATGTTTCTCTCGTGTCTCTGCAGTCGTATTTGGGACACGGCGTCAGGACAGTGTCTAAAGACTCTGATTGGTGAGTTGATGTCTGATCTCTGGTGTAGCACGGTAAAGAGTCGCCCGGACTGATGTGAGTCCCTCTCTCCACAGACGATGACAATCCTCCTGTGTCTTTTGTCAAGTTTTCTCCCAATGGAAAATACATCCTGGCGGCCACTCTGGACAAGTCAGTGTCTCTGAAAATTCCACGATTGCTTCTTTTTTTTTTCAATTAAATTTATGCTTCATGTCTCCATCATAAACTTAGTAAATTCAGTGAAATGTTTGTCTTTTTGTTTACAGTACATTGAAGCTGTGGGACTACAGCAAAGGAAAGGTAAAGTCTGACTCCTCACCCGGCTCTCTGTCTAACCCCCCCCCTCTTGTGTCTGTCTCCTCACCCGGCTCTCTGTCTTCTTTTTGTCAGTGTCTCAAGACGTACACGGGCCATAAGAATGAGAAGTACTGCATCTTCGCCAACTTCTCTGTCACAGGAGGGAAGGTGAGTATCTGTGGTTATTACTGTATGTTGATATTACTGCGTGTATTTTGCTATTACAGTGTCTGTTATTAGTATACACAATAATAGCAACGGATATAACATTTCAGTCTTAAGAGAGCAGAAATTTGTTTTTCAATATATATTAATATATATTTGAGTATATATTTATATATATTTGTCTGTTATATATGTATCTGTTTTTTATATATAACATGACAAAATATATATATCATATATTAATATATAATAATAATAATAATAATAATTTATTTCAAATAACTGCAGTTCTTTTCCTCCAGCAATGGCTTTATGACCCGAACCTCGCCACTAAACAGTCATTATCAGTGAAGCTAACTGACATTAGGGACAGTGAAGGCATCATCTGAAACAGTGTCTAAAATTATGAATTACATAATTATATATTACTGAGTTGGAAACGGTGTAATGAAAATGTTAGTGACGACTGAGTTTGACCTTCGACTCCTGATTCTCAGTGGATCGTGTCTGGCTCTGAGGACAGCATGGTTTACATCTGGAACCTCCAGACCAAAGAGATTGTTCAGAAACTACAAGGACACACAGGTAGGACTTAGTCACCTCCTCGTCTCCCACTGCCTCACCTCTTCTCTCAGCCTTTCTGTCGTTCCTCTAACCTGGGCTTGTCTCCACAGACGTGGTGATTTCCACGGCCTGTCATCCCACGGAAAACATCATCGCCTCGGCTACTCTGGAGAACGACAAAACTATCAAACTGTGGAGGAGCGACTGTTAGAGCAAACACACGCGCACACACACAGATCCAGCACCTGAACTGAACCAGTTTAACATGTGTTTCTCAGTTTCTTAAACACAAACACACAGTTGACTCCAGGAGTTTACAGTCAGACCAGAGAGTGTCACCGATGAGGGTTTTATACAAAAGTTTGGATTTTATTTCCTTTATATCATTTTCCTTGACACGCGACGGGGCAGTTATTTTATTGGATTAGTTCCTCGGAGAAACCAGTCGTTATCGCGGTTTAAAACATCAGACGTTAATTTGCTAGAAGAGACACAGAAATGCTGAAGAAAGTAGTGAAACATGAATTTATTTTAAAGGTCGAATAATTTTAAGATTTTATAGTCTCTCCCAGGAACTGTGGCTGTCTTGGTTTTTAAATATGCTCTTTTTTTAATGGTCCGTATCTTTAGCAGCATTTTTTTTTCAACTGTTGCCATAAGTGCTGGATGAAAAGTTGTTTGAAGAGTCACTGATCTACTCCTCACTTCTCTCTCTTTCACCAAAATGTTCATAAATTTCAATACCTTTTTTTTTTACAAAGACTAATATTTATTGGTGAAATAAACAAAATGTGTTTTCTTTTTCACAATTTGTAATCAATAAGAAATAGGTATAAAATAGGAACAGATCTCGGGGTGTGGGTGACAGCCCACCCCCCACCTCCTCCCTTGCTCTGACTGTGAGTGTTGCAGTCGCTGTGTGTCTTGTGTGTGAATCGTGTGCAATGTTACTATTATGTGGGTTCGACAACAACAACAACAACAACATACAGCAGTGTCATCAGCTTCACTCCAACATCAGCTGACCCATAATGCAATAGTGACAACAGCGCTTCCTACGGGAAAGGATTTTTCAGTTATTTGTAAATAAAGATTTTTGACTATGAGCTGCTTGTCTTTTTTTTTATTTATAATTTATTTATATATATATATTAAATTTATCCTATGTCCATCTCACTAAATAATTTTTTGTGTATAAAAAGTAACTTCCAAAAAACAATAAGTAAACAATATATAGTTTATACGTATATACATATATACTGCATGTATGGTGGTGAGTAAAATATATACTATTTTTTAATTATTTCTGTTAATTATTTCCTGCAATCATGTAAATATGTCTATATATTTATCACTACTGTGTTTAAACCTTTTTATTTCATATTTTCTGTGCATTTACTACTTATATTTTTGATATTTCCCTTGTTAGTAATGTCAGTGCGAGGTGCAGTACTGCAGTGAATGTACAGAAGAACTCAGGGGTCACAGTAAAATATGATATGCTGATAAAAACTATTTTTTTAATCGGTTAAACAGAAGGGGCTGCATCATTTAAACTTTTCTCTTTCAGTATTTAAACAAACCTTCAGGTCTATTTATAAACTTGACTTCTTACCATCCAGGTCTCCATTCACTGTATTGTCATGATTGTCATTACAAAAAATCCAGTTGAACTAAAAAATAGAAAATATATCCTTACATAATATTTTTATCAATATTTTCACATTCTCTGGTGAAATAACAGACAAATAAACTCAACAAAATATTCTAATGGGAAAATTAAGTTAAAATGCTTTTAAAAGTGAAAATGGAAAAAAACAAATTATTAGACATTACAAAATGGCATTTTAAAATGAGAGACAATCATTACTGATATAAATCATGCTTGTTAAACTGGTATTAATATCCTACTCTTACTCAGTACATATTTATGTCTGTTCTCTAGTGAACTAAAGGGAATAGAAATGGTAAAAAATGTTGCACTAGTGAAAACATTTTTTTTTTTTTGATGAAGCTATGAATAAGAACAAATGAAAAACATCATTAGCCAGGATTAGACTGTTAGTGCGAGATTTTGGTTCGACCGCCCCCACCCCCCTTTAATTGATTCTGTGAAATCGGACGTTCAGTTTGAATTTAATATTAACAGGAAATTGGCAGAACGGCAGCGTGTTTGGTTCTGGGCTCTTGCCACAGGTTCATGCACAGATCTAAAAACTCTCTCATTGGTCACATGGAACAATCAGAACAGACATTTTGGGCAACATTCTTCCAGACAAAATCTTACTAGTCACTCTAATGGACCAGCAGCCAGAGGTTGAATCAAACCAAAACAGTTTCACAAACCAGTCCAATCCGTCATAGAACCAACATGAACAACGTCACTACGTCCTGGTGGATGAGAGATGTAATCTCCAAGGAGGACCAGTAAAAAACTGGTTCATACCAGGGGAGCCCAGCGCAGGGTGCCAATAGAGATGAGGGTCTGACAGGTTGCAGAGTCCAACCACACCGACTCCACCAGACTGTAATGCAGAAAACCCAGAGCAAATCCACAGCCAACATCCGACAAGTGGTGTTTACCCAGCAACACCCGGGACGTGCCAGCCAGGAACGCCCACAGGTAGAGCAGAATTCTGAGAGGAACCTAAAAAATAAATAAGGAGAAGAACAATATTTTTATTGAGAACCGGACAAATAGTCGTAATGTTGCAAGAAAAAAGTCGAAATTCTACAAGACAAAAAGTCATTATGTTACAAAAAAAGTCAAAATTTTACGAGACAAAAAGTCATACTGTTACATGAAAAAGATGGAATTTTACAAGACAAAATGTTGGTAGAAAAAGTAAACATTTTACAAGACAAATAGTTGTAATGTTGCAAGAAAAAAGTCAAAATTCTGCGAGACAAAAAGTCATACTGTTTCAAGAAAAAAGTTGAAATTTTACATGACAAAAAGTTGTAATGTTACAAGAACAAAGTCGAAATTTTACAAGACAAAAGTCAAAATGTTACAAGAAAAAAAGTGAAAATTAATGTAAGAAAATGTAATGTAAGAAAAAAGTTGAATTTTACGACACAAAAAGTCATGTTACTAAGAAAAGTCTAAATTTTACAAGACAAAAAGTCTTGATGTTACAAGAAAAAAGTCAAAATTATACGAGGCAAAAAGTAATAGTAGTACAAGAAAAAAGTTGAAATTTTACAAGACAAGAAGTTGTAATGTTATAAGAATACGTTATGAGAAAGAAAGAAGAATTTATGCGAATAAATTTGAGTATAAGGGCAAGATAAACAATAATAATAACAACAATAACAATAATAATAAATAATAAACAAATAGTAAATTTATGAGATTACAATGTAACAACTTTTCTTTCAGAAATATGTGACGTTTTACAATTTAACTTTAGTATTTTTTTTCATTCTCCACAAACAAACCAAGGTTGGATGAAGTTGGATGGAGATGGATGTAGGATACACCTGTCTTTTAATTTAATGTGTTTAATAACATATTAGATGCCAAAACATTTGGAGAGTTTTCCAATTTGTATATCATTAGTTTTTTCTTAAATTATAAGTGTATTAAATGTTGAATTGAAATTTTACAAATTTAAAGTGTGTCATAAACACATTTTCTTATTCCCACCACCAGCTGATGCTGTTTTCAAGGTTTGGCCGTGAGCAGCGGCGGAGCTGGTGCCGAGGGCAGAAACTTTCGGTCTATATTTAAAATGTGTCTGAAGTCGGTGCAGCAGGAAAGACGATAACGACACACACACTGACCGCCAGCACCAGGTGGCTCAGCAGAAATTTGGACACCATGACCGCCCGGCTGGCGTGGGCTGCTGGGAAAGAATACATGTCCATGGCAACGAAGTCCAGAAACCCTGGAGGAAAATCCCAGGGTCCTTTGCGTTTGACCAACTTCTGCATCCCGGCCACCGTCATCAGATCAAGGATGAGAGCTGCAAAGAGACAGGAAGTCAGTCTACGCTCACGTTCAATGTGTCCGCGTCTCCACCCACTATTTTACCCAGCAGCAGGTTGACGAGGACTTCCTGTCCAGCCAGCGTATTGCTCCTCCACAGGCAGATCAGCGTCCCGATGAACCAGGGCAGGGCATGTCCACTGAAGGCCAGCAGCAGCACCATGGAGCGGAAGGGGGCCCCGGAGCCTTGAGGTCTAACGCACACCCCCAGGCGCTTGGACAGGCTCAGGTCAATAGCCAGGAGTGAGTTGATGGCGATGCCACGGAAGGTCGGGTTCAGCTGCATGCAGTCCTGTTCTGGCAGACGGGGCGCATCTTTCGCCCCGCCGTCAGCTGCTGATGCACCGTCTGAGGAGTCCCTGCCCCCCCTGAGGACAGACACAGGGCATTCTGGGTGACAACCATTCACACTTATATTCACACCTGTGGTCAATTTGGAGTGAACAATAAATGGAAGAAACTGGAGACAATCACCACCATACAAAGACAGGGACTGAACCAGTGATCCACTTGCTGTAAGGTAAGTGTACTTTCCATAAGACGTGTTGTTTTCTGAACATTTGCTGTTCACTTATTTTGTTTCAATTTATTTCTGTCACATTTTAAACATGGTATAAACGGAATGCATTTTCACATATTAAATCAAATAAAAAATCAGAACACATTACAGCAGAGCCCCTAGCTGTGGTCGGTTTCAGACCTAAAAACAAGTAATACATATTTTTACGCTTTTTCCGCCTGAAAACTTTTCAAAAGTTGGCGAAAGTTGTTAATTTCCTGGTTTTACATCAAGAGTTTGAAAACTTTCTTTGTAATTAATATTGACATACAAGGAGCGGCGCCGCCTTGTGGTCCCTAGAGGTAAAACGGTCAACTGACTTGGACTTTTACACAAAATTCAAAGATAAAGAAGGAAAAGTATGACGTTGTACATTTAGGTACATATTTTTACATACATCTGACGACGCCCTAGCCTCGCCTTCATCGCTAACCGCTCGTTATACTGTAGTTTAACAAACTCACCGCATCTTAGGAAGGTTCTAGACGTCACAAATGTAAGATTTGCCAACATTTGTTCTCTGTTTTTTATCATCTGATCCATATTTTATTCTGAATAAAGAAACTTAATCCACTGACGCCAACAAAAATGATTTTCTTTCGTGTTATTGTATCATACAACGCAGACTCTGCTCGGTCGACTTAATCGCGTTTCACATCATCAATGACGTTTAACTCACCTGTGTTTTCATTGGTCAACAGCGATATTTGATAATAGTGATGTGTGTTGTTGAGTACGTTATTGCGAGGCTGAGTTTTATGGTAACATTGAAATAAAATAAATAACTATGTCACATGTAATTTCACCACTAAAGGGTGCTCAACAGCTGCATTAAAAAGCTGAGAAACAGCCTTAGGACAGCTCAAAACTGTTTTAAGACTCGTTCTGGCGCTGGACAGAGTCCGAGTCCTACGGTACCTTAGACCTGTGTCCTCCTGCTGACTCTGCTGTCTGAAAGTGGACCTCCTCGGTCCACCACTCCCTCTCCCCTCTCCTGTCCCCTGCTCCCTGCGGGAGGGCTGGTTTAGGGACATAAACTCCGGCCGATTCAGGACATTGTTGCGGTCTCTGGCCCTACACCGGGCCTGCCGGCCGCTCATGATCACGCTTCGGAGATGGTGCTGATTTTGTGCAGTGCTGCCGGACTGTGACAGATCAGGTCTGGGACTCTGAGGGACTCTGCTATTAATAGAGGGACTGGCCTTCTTCTGCTGTCAGCTGTTCACTGGCTGGAAAAACACTGAACACGCACGCACACGCTCGTGCATGTCCGTACCAATATAGACCTGAAGTCTGTGTCAGTAAAGGAATCATCCGTCAAACTTGTGAAACTGTTTGGATAAAACCAAAAACAGCAGTGAAAACACAATGGCTTTGGTTAGAAAACAATAGTATATATAAAAATATAAATAGTATTCCCATTTTTTATTTGTTTGTAAACTGAATACAATTTAATGGCAATTTATTCAAAAATATTTTACATTTAAAACGGAATAACAACACTTGGGTTTTATTACTTTATTTTGTTTTGTTTTAAACCCAAAAATAAAGGTATTAGGAAAATTTAATGTCTGAAGTTACAGTTCAGGGGCTTTGTATAACACTTTAAAAGAAGTTGTTTTTTGAGTACAAACAAACACCACCGAGGAACTGTGTTGCTGAAACCGGCGTTTCTTTACGGACAGAACGACGTGAACACCGTTGCTATTGGATACACACAGCTTACGTTCCAGTGAAAATTACGAGAGCAGCCAGGTAGGAAAAGAGGGAACGAATACAATTGATTAATCAGTCGTATTAGCGGTCGCAGTTGTCATAACAACTATGACATAATCTGCATTTTTAATCGATTAAAACGAAAGATAACTATGCTAACGGTGCTAAATGAACCACCAGGAGCTAACTGAGCTAACGCTAGGATTTTTACTAATCCTCCAACGTTGAAGTCAGCACAGTATGAACAGATGTCAGCGGTTAACAGCGGTTGGACTCTGTCTGTGTTTACACACCCCAAACCTGAACGACTATAGAAAAAGAAGACGTTTTGATGCCGTAAAATCGACGTAAACAGAAGGGAACAACGTTCGTCTTCATTTTCAACTCGTAATAAAAATAGAGACTTACACCGAGTGGCCTCTCCGCACCCTGGTAAGTGTTTTTTTTATTTCATTGTTGCCAATAAGATTTTGTCAAAAATGGTCATAATGTCTGTAAATTGAGTTAAACAATCGACTAACGTATCAACTAACGTATCAACCACACACTCCAGAAAAATCTAATCTTATTAATTCTATCAAATCTAATGTAATGCGATGCAACCAAATATCATGGGATTTCTTATTCAGTAGAAAACTAGAAAATTGTTAAGTTATCAACAAATGTAAGACAAATTTATTCGACTTCTTTCGGTTAATTTTTTTTTATTCTTTATTTTTACCGAAAATAATTCACCAGGGAGAACATTTCAGAGAATAAACTTGCATTTTAAGGTATTTTAGATATATATCTAAAAAATTTAAAAAAAAATTAAATTTAAAAAACATGTTTATTTGGTGAATAATTGATAGTTCAACGTATGATTATTTATTTTATTATTTTACTTGATAAAAGTCCAAAATGCATATAATTATATTGTTATGGTCATTAATTAGTTGTTGCAGTAAAGGTCACTGTGCTTCCTTTCAGGTGCTGTGGTCATCAGGCGTTCGATCATGGCTGGGCTAGACCTGGACCTGAGCTGGTCCAGCCTGATCCAGGGACTATCAACGCGACCATGACAGACAGTGACCTACCAGCTGTGGAGGAGTCAACACCAGTGGAAGACCTTATTCTTCCTCCTCCTCCTGGTCTGTCAGATCCCAGTCCTTCTGGTCCTGGACCCCCTGTTTTTGGTCCCCGCTGTCGCCCTCCACTGGCAGAAAAGGCCCTGGCAGCTTCTTTTCCTAGTCTCCGGTACCGGGACACATCCCTGCTGATCTGGCAGCAGCAGCAGCAAGAACTGCAGTCAGCACCACCCTCCAACTACTTAAGTCGCAGTCAGTCAGCCTGGTACAGCAGTTATGGGAACCAGGCTGTGCTGGTTCGGGACAAGAAAGAACTAGGGAACACGGAAGGACAGTCCAGGATCTGTACAGTCATGTAGATGATGAGAGAACTTTACTGAAACATAACTACCAGGGAAGTGTTAAAATGTTTCATGACGGTTCTTTATTCAGGAGATAAAAAAAAGCATTAAGTGTAAAACTAGCGTTGTGCTATTACACAGGGCAGGGGAGAGGGGCAAATATATCGAATTTAATTTTGACATGTTTCTTAAATTGTGCCACATGTGGAATTGCAAAGGATAATGGTTTCATAGTAATTTTGTTTGTTTGTTTGTTTGTTTAAATTAAGATTTGAAGCAATAGCTGTGAGTAGATTGCCCTTGGGGTGGGTTAGGGGGAGTATTATAAAAACACATTCACAAAATTAGGGAACTGCAGAAAAGTTTGAGAATGAAGTACCAAGTTACAACGTATTTTAACAAGGGTCTACTCAGACAAAGTATTGTCAAATTGCAAGGGTAGGCTGTTTACCCCGTAAGCAGAACCACAGCCGCGGAAAATTAAAAGTTTCAAAATTAGCTTCAGTCGTTAGCAGCAGTCGTCTGAACCTAATCCGATTGTTAAGGTATGTTTTATGAAAAACACAGAAATATCAGCGCAATGTTTGAGACCAAAACGAACGACTGACATGTGGTCAAACCTCACATATGACGACCGGGACAACAAGAGCCTCTGTGAACCGTGAAATGAAATGCCTGGGTGAAATTATAACCCAGGTATTTTTTATTTTATCTATTTGAATTAAACTTTTTTAAAACTTAAAATGTTTATTTGTATTTTCTGTGCTGATGTTTTTGTTGACATTAAGAACAATTTCTTTGATTCCTGTGTGCATTGGCATTATAGCTGTGGTTTTTAATTTAATTTTTGAGATTTGCACATTATTTTTCTCAATCGTCTTGATTATGTGCAGACGTTTTGTACAAAATAAAACAAAAATATATGTACCATAATAAAACTGTTTCCGCACCTGTATTGGACTATCAAAACTTTATTTTGGATATTTCCAAAGCCCGGAAATGTAGTTGCTTTACCTGACTAAAACTCGTATGAAATTCAGTCGACTAAAACTAAATTAACACTAAAAGATTTAGGGTGATTAAAATATGACTAAAAAATTATTTGTCATTCAAAAGACTGAGACTTAACTTTGCTGTCAATATTAACACTGAAAATAATTCCATGAAAACAGTTATTAAACAACTTTTTGTTTGATGCAATTTTTTATTTTCGTATAAGAGGTAGTCAAAAAGTGAAATATTTTATTAAAATATGCTTTTGTGAAAATATAATTGTATGTTTTCATTCAGTGTCTATTAAATTGTCTTAAATGTTTTTAACACTGTTTATAACCTGACAAAAATTATGACCATAGCACTTAAATAGCTTGAAAATATTTATTTACATGTCGTATAACTTTCTCATAATTAAATATACAAATCGATTAGGCAATGGAATGATGCGATTTGACAATTTTTACATAACTTCACACATTTTAATAGAGCTAAATAAGTTACCCGCAAAACGAACAAGTCCGTATAGAGAGTCGTTTTTTGTCGGGAGTTTGTCGTGACCTTTAACGTCAAATAAATCAAGTTTGTTTTGTGGCCATGGATACCTGTTGTCCTCCTCACCCACCCAACCCTCCTCCTCTCAGTTAATGACAAACACATGTGGACCCCCTCAGCGTCCGAGCAGCAGGAAGCGAATGTGAAGTCAAAGTAGCATTGTTTCAGCTCAACGACGCAGAAACTTACCCGAGATTTTCCACAATAAAGGTCTAGCACGTACGTTTTATACAAGTGCGGCTCGACTTTTGCTGTTTTTTTAAAAGTCAGTGTCATTATTCATTAGTACTTTTTCGAGTTGACAAATGATTAATTACTAGTAAGTAATCATTAAATATTAGTTATAACTACCTAATACTGTTTTAATACTGTCAATTTGGACTTGGTGACGTTGGTTTATATATAATAAACGTTGTTTTTGCAAACAAAGATTTATTTTGCAATAAAAACTCCTTCACGAAGCTAATGTGAAGAACAAAAAAAAGTCACCGTCAGAGTAACGCCCCGTTAACAGAGTTTCACGTCTTGATTATGTTTTATTTTGAAAGACTAGAAAGGAAGTGTCGAGCGCGTGTATTTTTACTTGGCGAGGACAACATTTCTAACTGGTTTGAATTTTTTTTTTCTCGTTCAGAGGGAAAATTTGAAGAGAAAGTCAGTTGGATTCACCACAGACATGATTAGTACAGTGGTTGTTTAGCCCCCGTTATTTACTGATCTTTAATAGTTTTGTTCAGGCCAATGGAACCAATGTCTCCCTGCAAAAGAAAAGTGTGAGTATAACTCTATTTGAATTTAATACTAGTTAAACGTTTTTTTATCACTCAGGTTTTTGACAGTAACAGAAATAACACAGTATACTTTAAAACGTTAAATGTTAATCTTTTTAAATTAGTAGATTTTGTGATTTATATTGTGTAAAGTACTATACGATGTCATTAAGGGCCGGAAAAGTATTCTATTTATTGTGAAAGAAAAACAAAACAATAATTATAATCCATATAAATAGATAAAACAATAAGTAAGAAAAAAATACACTTCATCTGCCAAACTTTCTTGATTTCCATAGGCTAAAAAACAACAAAACAACAACAAAGATTAAGCAGATAAATGACAGTATTTTATTTAACAATAATTTCCCAGTACTGAACTGAAGTAAGAGTGAGGTCGGAGCGGTACGTAGGTGTGTCCTTAAACATGTAAATTACAAAATGTTCATTTACATGTGCAATTGTTTCCCAGCTTTTAACATTTAAAAGTTCACATTTACATGTGTAATGGCCTCTCTCAGGGTTGCGGACCCTTAGTTGAAGACCCCTTGAGTCAGAGCAAATGTTGTTATGATGATGTTAAAAATAAGGCAACCCTCTCTCAAACTGATGAAAGCTGTAGTGACAGGCTGACAGCCATTAGTCACCGCAGTTGCCCATGTTTTTCCACATCTGTTAGAAGGTAGAGACTAAAAGACATGGGAGTAAAGTGACAGTATTAGTATGTACTGTATGTAGGAACTAGAGAGGACCAATATCGACAGGTCTCCGAGGTCCATTAATAGGGTCATGTTGTCCCTAATGTTAAGACCCAGTCGTAGAATAGGTTATTTATCTCAAATTCTGGGCTTTTGAGGAGGGTGGGGGTGGGGTGTGTGTATGTGCACTGAAGTGTATCAGCAAATCCTCATTCTGTTTAATTAACATGATGAGTTGCAGATTAACGTCTCCATTATTTTCTACACAGCTTAGTCTAAACACTACTGATTTACACAGATCCCATTTAGAAAATAATGTTCGCCTAAAGCTGGAAGTCACTGCATCAGAACCACCACTCAAACTTTTTTAAACCACTTCAATCGATACAAGATTTACTTTTATTTAATTATTATTATTTATTATTTAACTATTATTTAATTAAAAATATATATTTTTGTCTGATAGGCCCAGTGGTGGAGTTGGCCTTCAGCAGCAGCAGGAGGCCCAGTGGCCCACAGCCTATAAGAAGAAGTGTACAGACAACCCTGGGATAAGGAGAGGAACAGGACCATCCATGAAGGAAAACATAAATCCACAGGAACTACAGGGGAACAGAAGGAGAGAACATAGACGGTGAGAACATGAGAACTGGAATTCTATTTTAAGGAAACGTATGCAGTTAGTTAAATAACCTTCATTCATATATTTACATGGACTCACACATATATAAACGTATGAAATTATGTACATATATATGTTTATTTATGTTTATATATGTGTGTTACTATGTGTATATGGTGATCTCTTATGCTGTATGTTAAATATATATGTCACTTTTCACCCACAGTGATCAGACTACTGATCGAAGCTCTACATCTCTCAGTCCAGGCCCTGTTTCTATTTGTAGAATTTCACAGACTGGAGTCGGAACCAGAACCAGAGTCAGGCCTGGATCCTCCGAGTGTACAGAAGGGTCTGAAAATTACCATAAGATTCAGACCAGTAGACCTGTGATCCGTGAGGCTGTTATTAAGAAAACACACACCCAGGCTTCAGTCAGAACGGTATCCAGAGGCTCCAAACATGTCCAGGGTTTAACCACCGCTGACCAGAACGATCCAGGTTCTACTAAGACCCAGAAGTGGAAGAAAAGACCAAGTCAACCTCTACAGAGCAGGACCATCGAGAACGCTACTGAGGTTGTTTGTATAGCTGACAAGTCCTGGTCCTTACCAGAATGTTCTACTAATCAAATCTGTGTTGTACCAGGTCAGTTCTGAGTATACAGCAAATACTCAGAGTCAGGCTGCAGACCTCTTTATAGATCAGATCTCAGACAGTACCAGGAACTGGAGGAAGTCTGAAAGGAAAGATGGGGGAGTTCAAACTAGATCCAAATCCAGAGAAAGGAGACCAGAGACCCGGAGCAGGAGAAGGAAGAAGATACATCCATCTGTGTTCCTAGGGAGAGGTTTGTTTCTGTCCAATAATCTGCCTGAGGTCTAAGGTCAAATTGGATCAACCAATCAGCAGTCTCTGATTGGTGAACCTAAGAAAACTTGGAATATAATTTCTGGAAAATTCTTGGAAAAAAATCCAAATACCTGATACATAGTAAAATGTATTACATGTACATAGTAAATATATTTGTGACAAAGTATACAAATTGTTTCATTTTGTAAAAGAAATATATCTTATTATCAAACTTACAAAAGTTAAACTTTGAAATAATTAACTGAATAAATACTTGCTTCCACATCTGTGATTCTGTAGGTCAGTTACAGCTTTCGGTCACTCCAGAAGCTGGACAACTCTTCATTCACAGTAAGTTCCGCAGTAGCCAGTTACAGGACAGCAGACAGTCGTAGTACAACATCATTTATTATAACTTTCCATCAATATCTAATGTAAACTGGCAGACAGACTAGACCCGTGGTTCCCAACCTCTGAGCCGTGGCACACTAGTGTGCCGTAAGAGTCGTGTTGTGGAAACTTATCCATTTATGCAATTGGTCTGAAAACTATTGTGTATTTATTTCAAATAATTTTTCTTTGTACACCAATGACGGGCAGAACAATTAAACGTTCTTCCACTAGGTGGCAGCAGATCTATATGAAAATTTAAAAAAGAGAATCAGTGCTGTTGAAGATCTTTGTGATTGTCTTTCTTCAATTCCTGCAAGTATATGAGTGTTGTCTTCAACCAAACAGACTGAGTTCTTAGTAAATTGTGATTAAATGTAAACTAGAATATTATTATATTTATTACATATATTTTTGTGAGATCTTCAGATGAAAAATATGTGCCTTGGCTCTAGACATGCTGGACTAGACTACTAGAAAGATCCAGAGTCTAATCAGAGGTATGTTTTCACTATACCAGCAGGGGGCAGCAGAATCTTCTTTTATTCTTTACCACTGCTTTCAGTAATTGTCAAAAACTACAGGTGAACCATGAAGGTTGTTAAGTTGTTACAGTCATGGAGTGAATCATAGTATTAGAAAGGTTTTCCCATTTTTCTTAGAGGTACTTTGAAGAAAAAAAAGGACCTTAAAGAAATGTCTTTTCCATCTAATATTCCTCTCGCATAAAGTCAAAGTTTTTGCTCAAAACTGTTTTTCCTTTAGTCTATGAGGCACGAGGGCTGATGGGAAAAGGCCAGACACCATGTGACTCATATGTGAAGGTACAGACGCAGTTCAATTTGAAGATTCTGATAACAAGACTATTTATATGTATATATACATATATATGTATGTATATGTATGTATGTGTGTATATGTATATATGTGTATATATGTGTGTGTATATGTATATATTTATATATGTATATACGTATATGCATATGTATGTGTATACATATATGTATATGTATATACATATATGTATACAATGTATACAATGTATACATTTTATATTTATTTTTAATTTATATTTATATTCAGGTTACGGTGACCTCTGACCCCAGCCACAGCATCAGGATGAAGACGCCGACTGTTCTCAACAGCAAAAACCCAAAATATGATCACAGCTTTACACTGTGAGTCAAACACACACACACACACACAAACACATATATACACACAGATGTACATTTTAAGTGGTAACCCCAGTGTCTTCTGTGTTCCAGGCTTGTCAGTGATGAACTCTTCCTTGGCCGACTGCTGGTGTCAGTGTTCAGAAAACTACCTGAGAGCAGGTCAGTAGACAGATGTTGTTACTTTCTTGTTATGTTAATTCTGACGTTTTCCCCCCCCCCACATTAATCATTTCTTTCTCTCTTCTCAGGTCCAGGCAGCTGATTGGCTGCATGAGTTTTGGGATCGGCTCTCTAGTCTTGTCCTCTGAGGTTAGTGAAACCAGTGAGAAAGTGAAACCGTTGTCCTAGGTTAGACTGTCGTTGAAGGAGAGACACTGACCCGTGGTCTTCACTCCCACTGTAACACAGCCGGTCACAGGTTGGTTCTACCTTCTCGGCGAGGAGTTTGGCTTGAGCAAGCACCTGAGGGTGACATCACAGCGCTGCAAAAGAAGGCAACAAGAGGGCAATGTGGAGAAGGTGCCAACCCTGTGTGGTAGGTTAAAGTCTTGGGTAAACATATTAAAAACCTTGAAAATACTTTGATATCCCCCTCAGTGCTATGGACAGACATGATTGGTTCTGGCCCCTAATCTACTGTAAACATATATTTACGCACAGACAGTTATAAACACAAACAGATGTTAATTAGCAAGCATTTTAATGTATGCTTTTTAATTTGCAAAAATGCCACAAGTCTATCAGATCTTCTCATTTCAGTATAATAGTTCATTTTAAATGTTGTCATGGCGCCCCCTAGGGAAACCGTTTCTTACATGCTGAAAACCATTGCTTTATATTAGGGTTGTCCACACCTTTTTTGGCCTTCGAGTGACTTTACAAATGACCAGCCTAAAGTGGTCTACATATATTAATAATA